TCCAAATCAGGGACTACAAGCAGTCTACGTTGCAAAATTTCATTGCTCATCAATTCAGACCACCTTGCTGGTCTTCCTGAGGCCCCCCCCCCATTTTGGGAGGATGAAGGGAAGAGATCAACATTTGATCTCCTGCAAAATTGGAATAATTTGAGCCTAGCCCTCTCCGAATTCACTTCTCAACCAGGGCTGTAAGCCAGGGCTTTTGCTTTCGGGATAGTCTGGGTGAATTTTAATTTCACTGCAACGCAAACAGCCGACGCTCAGCCCCCCCAAAACAGGGTTACGAAACAAAACTCTCCCAAAAAGATGGGATCAAAATTAGCCAAAGGAGGGGAAAAAAGAAAGCCTTCAATCTGATTTTTGACTTTTCTGGATCACAGGGGTCCTTTCTGGGATAAATCCTGCCTTTCTGAAGGCTGATTTCATAGCACTGGTTCACGGGATGTGACTTGACTTCATCTGAAGGGTCCCAGAAAGAGGCGAACGGATGCCAGGGCAAAACGGCTGCCGTGGCACTTCCTGGTTTCACCCCCTTGTTAAACCATGGCTTGGGGAGAGAAGCCACAATGGTGGAGCCCACACGGCCCTCCCAAGCAAAACCAACTACGGGATGGCTTAACCCAGGTTAATAACCCTAAGGCGAAGTAATCCCAATGCAGACAAATATTACATATACTAGCCTGGTTGCAGAAAATGGGGGAAGTGGGGAGGAACAAGAGTCTGAATCCCTTCCACAAATACACACTTTGGACTCAACTTGGCTTGTGACTGTCTGGATTACCCAGCTGACACCAAATCCGGAGCAAAAATAAATGAGCCTTTGAAAAAATGCACTCCCTCCCTCCCTCTCTCTCTTCCCCCCCCCCCAACACATACATAAACACAGACATGTATCCAGAAAAAAAAATGCAAAAAAATAATGACAATCTCAATTTAAGTCATGCCACGGTAGATGGGTAAAGAATTTAGAGGAGCAAAAGGGGGGGGGGGAATCCAGCACGTTGGAAGCCTTAAAGCCCTCACCTGTAACTGGTCAAAACCATACCTCATTTTAAAGTTTCACCTTGAGGACTAGTAATTTGCTTTCCGTTTCCAACTCCAACCAGGGCTGAAAAGCCACCCGTTTCAATACCCCACAGTACAATCTGGCTCCTCTTAAGAAAGGGGCTTCTTGATCTGGGGAGGGGGGGATCTCATGAGGACTTGCCAATCTTTCCTCAATTTTTTTTCTGCCCATTCCCAGCAGCTGGTATTTGTCCCCCAGGGCTAATGCAGGGCTAACGTCCCGGTTTGACTTCCACGTCTACGGAAAGGCTTCCGTATTTGTGACAGATACACTTGATCCGTCTCTACAGGAGAGCATGGATCTGCCCCCCCCCATACACCCCTAAGCTGACTGGGGCTTCCCTGCTCCAACTCAGCGAGTTGGGAAGCGGGGTGGATCCATGCACAACTTCCCTGAAAGGGGGGGGGAGGCATGCATCCATATCGGTGCAGCTGGGGTGCAAACTTCCTCCGCCCCGTGGAAAGTTGTCCCCAGGGCAGCCAATCTGGAGCCCCCGCCTAGCATCTAGCAGCGCCCTTCCCGGTCATTGCTGGGGAAGCCTCCCCCCCCCGGGGCCCCCTTCTCCACGCCGGAACCCCAGCCTGGCTGCCGTGCAAGAGGGACGGGACAAGAGGGACGGGACGACTTCTGACAGCCAGCCAGCCAGCTAGCAAGCAGAAAGGCAGGCAAGGCAGGCTGGCTGGCTGCCTGTCAGAGTCGTCCCGTCACTCTTGCACGGCAACCAATAGCGACAGCTCTCTGGCCCTCCTCCCTCCCCTCTCGGAAGCCCCCCTCCCGCCAGCCTTTGCAAGCGGGACAGAGCAAGTGGGCTCGGGGCTGACACGAGCCCCCTTGGAGGAAGAGGAGGAGGAGGAGGAGGAGGAGGAGGAGGAGGAGGAGGAAAGCCTTGGGGGGGGCAGGCTGGAGAGGGCTGCCAAGCAGGCTGACAACTGCCAATCCCCATTTTGGGCCATGCAAGCAGGGCTGGGGAGGGCAGGGGGTGGGTGGGAAGACGCCACTCTCCACCAATCCCTCCTCCTCCTCCTCCCCCCCCCCGGGGCCAGCCCCCCCCCGCCCCCCCGCCCCCCCCCCGGCCCGTCTGCCTACCTGAAGGGGCCGAGCAGGTCGTCCATGACAAGTGACAGCCTCGGCCGTCTGCTGCTGCGGCGGGCGCTACCTGACCTTGCCTCTCTCCGTGGCTCCAGGGATGGGGGCAAAAACAGCCCGCCCCCAAACAAAACCAGAAGGAGAAGAAGAAGGAGCAGAAGGGGGGGGAGTCGGCCTGCTCCCCCCCCCCTGCCCAGCCAACTAATCAAAATGGAGGCCCATGCAGTCCGAGGTGGACCCGGGAGAGCCTTCTTCGCGGAGCTGGTGCGGTGACCTCAGCCTGCACACGCAGGACGCAGAAACTTCGCCCTTAGACTGACAGCACTGGGCATGTGCTGTGACCCCCCCCTCCTGTTTCCGTAAATAAAGCAGCGCCAACAGACGTGGGGAGGGAGGGCTGCACCACCAGCCCAGCACAGCACAAGCGGCGGCGGCAGCGGCAGCAGCAACAACGCAATGACACGGCTGTGCCTAGCAAGCTAGTGTGCAGGGAAGTGGGGCCTTTGCAAGGGAGTCTGAGACGGGCAACGTTCCTGGGCAGGCAGGTCTGGCTCGGGGGGGGGGGGCTTGCCCCCTTCCCTGGAGAAGGCAGGCCAAAAGGGCAGGGAATCTCTGTGTGTGTGTCTCTCTCACACACACAGACACACACAGCACACACTGCTTTTAATTTCTCTCTGGGAGGAAGACCCTTCTGCCAGAGAGAGGGGACCGGATGCAAAAAAAAAAAAAAAAAAAAAAAAAGTCCAGTTATAGAATCGATTGCCAGAATATCAGGTCAGGACCTGTGGCAGCCACTCACAGGTCCCCAGGAAGGAAGGAAGGAAGGAAGGAAGGAAGGAAGGAAGGAAGGAAGGAAGGAAGAAAAGGGAGGGAGGGAAGGAGGGAAGAAGGAAGGGAGGGAGGGAGGGAAGAAGAAAGGAAGGGAGGGAGGGAGGGAGGGAGGGAAGGAAAGGAAGGGAGGGAGGGAGGGAAGGAAGGAAAGGAAGGAGGGAGGGAAGGAAAGGAAGGGAAGGAAAGAAGGAGGGAGGGAGGGAGAGAAGGAGGGAAGGAAGAAGGAAGAAGGAAAGGGAGGGAGGGAGGGAGGGAGGGAAGGAGGGAGGGAAGGAAAGGAAAGAGGGAGGGAGGGAGGGAGGGAAGGAAGGAAGGAAGGAAGGAAGGAAGGAAGGAAGCTAGAGAGCCATGTCTGGGCCAAGATCAATGAGGGAGGGAGGGAAGGAAGGAAGGGAGAGGGAGGGAGGGAAGGAATTTGCCACCATCTATCACTATGGGTTCCCCCCCCCCAGGCCCCAGTGAGTTTTTTGGAAGAGGCAAATCTCTCTGAGAAGGTGGGAGGGTTTTGAAAGCCAGGATAAAGAAAAGGCCAGCAGCTGGCTCAAACTCATCAATAACCCCTCCAAGGATCCAGGAGGGGCGAACGTGGGTTCCAGCCTGCAGCGTGGCAGGACACTGACTAGCTATGCCAGAAAGACCCCCAAATTTAGCCATGGGGACTCAAAACCCCAACAAAACTGGAACCTCCCGCTCGGTTCTCAGCCTGGCTCTAAATTCGAACTCAGCGTCAGGCAGGCGTGAAGGCATTCATGAGCAGGAAGGCTTGACCTTGGCTAAAAGCTTCACTTCAGAAAATTAGTACCTTGCTTATAATGAACCAGAACCGGATGTGAATCAGAGGACGACATCCATTTCACGGCCACCCGAAGACGGCCACCCGCATGCAGGTAGTCCTCAACGTACGGCCACAGTGGAGCTCAGCGTTTAGGTTGCTAAGCGAGACATTTGTGCGGTGAGTTTCGCCCGACTTTTCTGGACCCGTTTGCCGTTGTTATATTAGCAACACGGCTTCCCGGTGGATTTTGCATTGTCAGAATTTTCCAAAAAGGGGATCGCATGATTGCCCCCCTCTTCCCCGGCACGCTGCGACCGTCATAAATGCGAGTCAGATGCTGGGCATTTGAATTTTGATCGTGCGATCGTGGGGATGCTGCAACGGCTGTGTGAAAAATGGTCACCGGTCCCCTTTTTTCCGGTGCCGTCGTAACTCCGAACGGTCACTAAGTGAACTGTTGTAAGTTGATAAACTACCTGTATTACGCCATCTCACTTTGGGTGAGCCGACAGTACTGGTCCATATTAAAGGAAGAACTTTAAAGAACATTTCCACGGATTTCAGCATTTGAATAAAATTTGACAAACACGTAAATATTCCTCTGGAAACATGGTGTGGGTTGCGATACAGGTGGAGGCCCAGGCAGTTCTCTGAGCTTGCAACAAGTCTGGAGGTGCTGCCCCCCTCACAATTCTGCAGTCCCTCCTCCCCAAATTCTGAGAATTATTTCCAGCTACAAGCTGTGTGTTTTTTTTTTAGCCAAAGCAGCAAATTAAACCAAAGCAGAGCTACAAAAATGGTGCCGCCCGTGACGATGGCAAGTCAAAAGCCAAACGAAGGGAGAAACACGGTTTAAAAAAGAAAACGCACCAGGGATTTTAAAAAACACACCAAACCTTTAGATGTCACAATGAAGTCGCAGAAAGAATTGCAACTTTTGGGGGGAGTCTTTGTTGAGAAGATCCATTCGGTGAGAGACTTTTGGGAAGGGGAGTCAGCAGCAAAAAGGCCCTGGCTAGATTTGCTACTGTTCAAATCGATCTTCACAGCAGGACAACGGGTTTAAATCTGAACTCAGAACACCGTCAGCCGGTGCTGCTTCAAACCAGACCTTCAGGAATTAATCCTTGGAGTTTAGCATACCTGCCAAGTGCTTGGATGTTTCCCCCTCTCTCTTAATGCAGACTAAAAGTATTCTCTTGCCGTATTTCTCAACGGATGAAATAAAAAGCCACTCACCTGGTCTCTGGATTGTACCCCAGAATGTAGAAAAACGAGTCTATCCGAGCTTTGAATTCTCTAGCAGCAAAGATGTCGGAGAAGTGAGAGATGTTACATTTTCCCCTGCGAGGAAGGAAGACGGGGAAAAGGAATGGTCAGATTAGGTGGGTCGTAGTTACTTAACAGAGAACAGCCCCCAAACCCACAATAGGGGCCCACATTAAAGGAAGAACTTTAAAGGGATACTCATTTCCACGCATTTAAGCATTTGAATAAAATCTAGCAACCTGCTGCAATCCCAGATTACCCCAAGCCAATTATAAATAAGTGGAATTCTTTTTCTGGCTGCAGTTTAGGATACTAAACTGAGAGAGCGAGAGAGAGCGAGAGCGAGAGAGAGAGAGAGAGAGAGAGAGAGAGAGAGAGAGAGAGAGAGAGAGAGAGAGAGGATAGAATCAAGATCATGTGAAGTATTAATACCACTTTACAAGGCCTTGCTAAGGCCACACTTGGAACAGTGCATCCAGTTTTGGTCACCACGATATAAAAAAGGTGTTGAGACTCTAGAAAGAGTGCAGAGAAGAGCAACAAAGATGATCAGGGGACTGGAGGCTAAAGCATATAAGGAAAGGCTGCTGGAATTGGTTATGTCTAGTTTAATGAAGAGAAGGACGAGGGGGGTCATGATAGCAGTCTTCCAGGATCTCAGGGGCTGCCCCAAAGAAGAGGGAGTCAAGCTATTCTCCAAAGCACCTGAAGGCAGGATAAGAAGCAACGGATGGAAACTCATCCAGGAGACAAGCAACCTGGAACTAAGGAGGAATTTCCCGACAGTTAGAACAAAATGTGGATGCTCCATCACTAGAGGCTTTTAAGAAGAGACTGGACAGCCATTTGTCTGAAATGGCATAGGGTCTTCTGCTTGAGCAGGGGGTTGGACTAGATGACCTCCAAGGTCCCTTCCAACTCTTGCCATTCTGCTAAAATAATCTCTGGGCTGGATTGTTTGTTACTCACCTGAGGGCAGCAGCATGGTAAGTATCCACATAGTCCGAAATGAACAGCTCTCGGTTCTTGATCACTGGGTCCGTGATAACCAGCTCACGCCCAGAATCTGTAGAAAGAAAGCCACAGAGTTAAGTGGTGTCTCTAACAGTCAGGACGCTTCTAGCAGAGTTTCTCTGGAATATCTTTTGAGCGTGGGAAACTCAGATCCAGCCCGACTCGAGTGCAGCCAACGTCTTTTAATAAAAGAGCTTTTCGCCCCAACCAAACGGAGTCGAGGGTCTTTCTTTCCCAAGGGATCAAGCTGGGGCAGGTCTGACACTCTAGTATGGATCCCAGATTACTTTCCTCAGGTTTCCTTGGGACCCACTGCTTCCTTTTAAACCAGGGGTCTTCAAACTCGGCCCTTTGACGACTGGTGGACTTCAACTCCCAGAATTCCTCAGCCAGGCATGCTGGCTGAGGAATTCTGGGAGTTGAAGTCCATTCCTCTTAAAGCAGTGGTTCTCAACCTTTTTAATGCCGCGACCCCCAACCGATCGTAAGTTGAGGACTACTCAACCGGTCGTAAGTGGAGGACTACTCAACCGGTGCAGCACCGTTTGCAGAATGGGACTTCTGGCGGGCTCAGCAGGGCAGAGACAGCCTGGACAATTCCTACTGGCTTTTGAAAGCCAATAGAATTAGACTCTATTTAAGAGAGTCTATTCTATTGGCTTTCAAAAGCCAATAGAATAAAAGGGAGTAGCACAGCGAAGGAAAAGGGGGAAAAAAATGGCGGACTGCGTTGTTTGGCGACCCCCGTGAAATGGTCGCTCGACCCCAAATGGGGTCCCGACCCACAGGTTGAGAACCACTGTTTTAAAGTCTCTATCAGGGGTCTTCAAACTGGGCCCTTGGATGACTGGTGGGCTTCAACTCCCAGAATTCCTCAGCCAGGCACGTGTGCCTGGCTGAGGAATTCTGGGAGTTGAAGCCCACCAGTCATCTAAGGGCCCAGTTTGAAGACCCCTGGTTTACAGGGTGTCTCCCTTTTTCCTCTGAAGTTCTTGTTCCACCTTTTGTGGACTGGGAAAGATCTTTCCCAAATGTGAAAAAATGCAAATGGAAGCTACCATGCTCCAGCACTTAATTCCACCTTTTTTGGGGGAAGAGAGGAATTCTTCTTTGGCCTGTCTTCTCCAGGTGGCCAGACACAGATAGGAAGGCACCCAATGTTTCGGGAAACTGAGGCCAAAGGACTTGGCAGCCTCGGGATGCAACACCCACCTCTGTAAAAATGGAAATGTCACGAGAAGAGAAACCTCCTCGGAGGGGTGGGGCGGTAATGGCTTCTCCCCAGCTTACCGTTTTCGTTGTGTCGGTCTTGGACCAAATGTTGGTAAACAGAATCCGGGACCTCGGATTGGCGGTAGTACCACTTGACGTTCATGAGCAGGTGGTCCCGCTTACTCTGGAAGAAAAAGGAGGAGAAAGCGGTTACGGATGAGGGAGCCGGATCGGCTCGCTGGCACGTCGCTGGCTGCTGGGCGGATGCGGCGACGAGCTGCAAGTAAACTGGGTTTATTTGGCCCACCAGAGCAACACTGCCTAACGGCAACACGGCATTGCACAAATGCGTATCACGGGCCCGTCTTCCCAGAAAGGACAATTTGTGAGAATAAAACCCTGCCTAGATAGGTAGTCCTTGACTAACAACTTAGAGGCCTGTTGAAGTTACAGCAGCACTGGAGGAAAAAAAAAAGTGATTTATGATTGTTTTTCACACTTACAATTGTTGCAGCCCCAGGATCGCCTGATCAAAAGTCAAGACAATTGGCCGCTGACTCATATTTATGATGGTTGCAGGCCGAGAGAAGTCCTAAGATGGGGCAAGACTCACTTAACAAACGTCTTGCTTAGTAACGTAAGTTTTAGGCTCAATTGGGTATGTCTAGTTTAATGAAGAGAAGGACCAGGGGGGACATGGTAGGAGTCTTCCAGTATCTCAGGGGCTGCCCCAAAGAAGAGGGAGTCAAGCTATTCTCCAAAGCACGAGAAGGCAGGACAAGAAGCAAGGGATGGAAACCAATCAAGGAGAGAAGTAACCTGGAACTAAGGAGAAACTTCCTCACAGTGAGAACAATGAACCAGTGGAACAACCTGCCTCCAGAAGCGGTGAATGCGCCAACACTGGAGGTTTTTAAGAAGAGACTGGACAGCCATTTGTCTGAAATGGTGTAGAGTTTCCTTCCTGAGCAGGGGGTTGGACTAGAAGACCTCCAAGGTCCCTTCTTTCTTTCTTTCTTTCTTTCTTTCTTTCTTTCTTTCTTTCTTTCTTTTTCTTTCTTTCTTTCTTTCTTTCTTTCTCTTCTTCTTCTTCTTCTTCTTCTTCTTCTTCTTCTTCTTCTTCTTCTTCTTCTTCTTCTTCTTCTTCTTCTTCTTCTTCTTCTTACTATTATTATTATTATTATTATTATTATTATTATTATGGTTTAACTTGCCCTTCTGAAAACCTGACAGCCAGCCCTCAAATAAAACAGGGCCTCCTTAGAGGGATGGTGGAGAGCAAGGATGCCCTTCTGCCTTGTGGCATCTTGAGATCAGAGACCCCCAACCTTTGGGGCACCAGGGACCGCTTCCACGGAAAAAGGCTTTCCCACGGAGCGGAGGGAAGCATAGTTTTGCGTGTTGCCTGCCTCCAGCAAATGGGGCTTTGCTTGTTTGGGTGACCCGGTTGCTGACAGGCTGCAGACCAGTGTGGGTCCACAGACCGAAGGTTGGGGACCCCTCCTTTAGATTAACTGCCATAAGCTTCTTTTCCTGGCTAAGGCGCAGCTCCTTAGATTAGAATGGCCCATGCTTATTACTGCTTGCACCGCAGAAAATGGGATGGGGGGGGGAGAGGGAGGAAATGGACTGTTCTCACCATGCCATATTCAGAAAAGTTCCCAAGGTAGCAGATTCAAAAGCTCTCCAGGCAGAAGTAACCGTTACTCACGAGGTGACTCTGAAGGGCCTAGTTAATTGTTTAAATAATAAGTGTGGTTAATTCCATTCCTTTGTTCTTTCCAAGCTCCGGGTTATATTTTTTCCTGCCTTCTCTTCATCCCCCTGTACTGGTTAAGATCTTTTTTTTTTTTTTTGAAGGGGGGGGCACATGTAATACTGTAAAAAATCCAGCCAGTGGCAGCATTGTGTCAGGGAAGGAAAAAAAATCATTTTTTTTTTTTTTTTAAAGTTTACAAACTGCTTGCGATGCTGTGTGGCTGGCACTGTTTTTTGTTGTTCTTGTTTTTTTTAAAAGGGGGTAGAAATGAGAAAAAAAAATACTGTGGGACAAAAGAAGCTTAAGGAATCAGGCAGCTGAACCACTCCAGCCTGGAGAAGGGACCGCAATTAAAATTTAATTCAAGAGGGGTTTGATGGCCCAGCTCAATTCCTCCTGCTGAAAGGGATCTCAGAGATCAATAAGGTCACGAATCCCTCATTAAGGATTTCCAGGAAAATCTCAGCCAGCTGCATTATATTTCGGCTGCATCCTTGACTCCAATGCACAAGGACAAGGGGTTCCCACAGAGTCTTGGGAATCTCACATGCATCCCATCTCAGCACTGGGTTCCCCTCAACCTGGTCGAGGGTCAAGGATAATGGGGACGGTGGACACGGCTTCTGTCTGCCTGACGCGTCCACGTGCTCTCCACGGTCGGTGAATTCAAGAAATCCAACCTCCAGTGCCATCTAATTGTAGCAGCCACTTTCTAGCTCTCTTTGGCTCGTTTGCCCCCCTTTATCATTCCAAGTGGGTTTTCCCAGTTGCAATGTATGGCTGTGAAAGTTGGACCCTAAGAAAGGCCGAGCACCAAAGAATGGAGGCCTTTGAACTCTGGGGCTGGAGAAGACTCCTGCGAGTCCCCTGGACTGCAAGGCGATCCAACCAGTCAGTCCTGGAGGAGGTCAACCCCGACTGCTCTTTAGAAGGCCAGATCCTGAAGTTGAAACTCAAGTCCTTTGGCCACCTAATGAGAAGGAAGGACTCACTGGAGAAGGGCCTAATGCTGGGAAAGATGGAGGGCAAGAGAAGAAGGGGACGACAGAGAAGGAGGTGGCTGGAGGGAGTCACTGAAATAATAGGTGTGAGCTTAGAGCAGTGGTTCTCAACCTTTTTAATGCCGCGACCCCCAACCGGTCGTAAGTCGAGGACTACTCAACAGGTCATAAGTCGAGGACTACTCAACCGGTGCAGCACCGTTTGCAGAAGGGGACTTTTGGCGGGCTCAGCAGGGCAGAGACAGCCTGGACAATTCCTATGGGCTTTGGAAAGCCAATGGAATTAGACTCTATTCAAGAGAGTCTATTCTATTGGCTTTCAAAAGCCAACAGAATAAAAGGAAGTAGCACAGCTAAGGAAAAGGGGGGAAAAAATGGCGGACTGCATTGTTTGGCGACCCCCGTGAAATGGTCGTTCGACCCCAAATGGGGTCCTGACCCACAGGTTGAGAACCAGTGGCTTAAAGGGACTCCAGAAGATGGTAGAGGATAGGAAGGCCTGGAGGAACGTGGTCCATGGGGTCGCGACGGGTCAGACACAACTTCGCAACTAACAACAACATCATTCCAAAGATTAAGCACCCACAATCTGAAGTGTGCACAAAGCTGGCAGAGGCATCCTTCCAGGGAAGGGCCCCCAAACCTGTTTTTAAGCCTCCCTTTGCTTTCAAAGGCTTGCCACCACACAGCTGCACCTAAAAGTCTTAGAACAACAACGGCTAAACACAGTTTTGCAAGCACCCAGGTGTGTTGTTGGGTGCCGGCTCTTGCAACATGCATGCTCATGTAAATAGGTACCCTGCTCAGGGGGAGGGGGGGAAGAGGCGTGCCACAATCTTTCCACAGCTCAGGCAAGGGCAGGCCACGAGCAACAACGTTCAGAAGTGAGCAGAAAGCAGGTCCAGGAGAGGGGATGGTGATGAAGCCAGGAGCAAGTGATGGCCAACTGCATCCTAAGGAGATGACAGTCCCTAAGCCTGCTGTACAGTCTCTTCTTAAAGACTTCCAGTGTTGGAACATTCACCGCTTCTGGAGGCAGGCTGTTCCACTGGTTAATTGTTCTCACTGTCGGGAAGTTTCTCCTTAGTTCTAGGTTGCTTCTCTCCTTGATTAGCTTCCATCCGTTGCTTCTTCTCCTGCTTTCCGGCGCTTTGGAGAATAGCTTGACTCCCTCTTCTTTGGGGCAGCCCCTGAGATACTGGAAGGCTGCTCTCATGTCCCCCCTCGTCCTTCTCTTCATTAGACTAGACATTCCCAATTCCAGCCATTCCTTATATGCTTTAGCCTCCAGTCCCCTGATCATCTTTGTTGCTCTTCTCTGCACTCTTTCCAGAGTCTCAACATCTTTTTTATAATATGGTGACCAAAACTGGATGCAGTGTTCCAGGTGTGGCCTTACCAAGGCCTTGTAAAGTGGTATTAACACTTCACGTGATCTTGAGATACTGGAAGACTGCTATCATGTTCCCGCTCGTCCTTCTCTTCCTTAAACTAGACATACCCAATTCTATATGTTTTAGAAGTGCTTTCCCACTTCTCTTGACTGCCTTAAGTTTCAAGGCTGGCTAGATGTGGAAGTGTTTGTTGTTGTTGTTGTTGATGAAGTGTGTCCTTCTGAGGATGGATCATTCACGGAGGCTGAAGGACATAAGCTGACTCTGGACACCTCTGAAAAGCAATTTGCAAACCAACTCTTCCCCTTCAGCCAATCTTGACTCTTGCTGATGGAAAGAGGCTGCTTCGCCCTTTAAGGAACTACAACTCCCAGCGCCCCTGCGGCCTGGCTATGCTGAGCAGGGCTGCCGGGAGTTCTAGTTCAGCAGCCCTGAGAAAACCAGATTTCTCTGCCCTGCTGTTTTACAGCAAAGTGAGCAGCCAGCCTTGAACTCTCACTGCTCTTAACTGGCAGCGGCAGGAAAAACTGTGCCAGGCATCCGATATCCTGCACTTGTTAACTGGATTCCCAAGATCACAGTTCAATGCTGTAAACTGAAATGGCTTTTGGGGCTGGCTATTTTTTCCTCTGTTCCTGGCACCCAGGGGGGGCAAGCCAGCCCCTTCTATGCTCCGTTTCTCCTCCCAGCAACTGCTTGCTTGCCTGGGAAAACACGGCAGGGAAGGGACACGCCTTGCTAATCAGAGGTGAGCATCCTACAGCAGGCGGAATTACATGGAGGAGTAGGTTAGGCAGCGAAATGGGGAGAGAGAGAGAGAGAAAGAAAGAGAGAGAGAGAGAGAGAGAGAGAGAGAGAGAGAGACTGTGGGAGAGGGAGACAGACAGGGAGAGAGAGAAGGAAGGAAGGAAGGAAGGAAGGAAGGAAGGAAGGAAGGAAGGAAGGAAGGAAGGAAGGAGGAAGGAATCTAGAGAGCCAATCCTGATCTCCAAACAAACTGATCATCATTACACCCACATTTAAACCCAAG